TAAATGCAATTAGAGCTGGAGGCAATGTCCCATAGTGTAGAAACTAACAGTGTAGAAACGTGGGACATTGCCTCCAGCTCTTATTGGATTTAAAGGGAAACTGGTAGTAAAAAGCTTGCCTCCAGCTTAGAAGTTAATGCCATGTCCACAACAACTAAAAAATAATCAACTCTAAAGCATCTTCACCTGATTTTATTTGTTCACCTGAATCAGTTTCATCAAACTGTTTTTTTTCTAAAGACACGACGCTTATTTGGAAAAACAGGATCAACATCCATCTCATGAGCTATATTTTGAGCTATATTCAAGCTAGAATTAAATCCTTCATCTATGTACTTCTCAAAACAAAAAAAAGAATTACACCTTCGAGTTGTTTTAAAGCATTGTCAATGCACATAGGTTTAGACTGTAAGTTCTTACTAACCGAGTTAATATCAAACAAAATTTCATACCAAATGACCATGCCTAGTAAAAATTCAAAATTATCAAATGCCATAATTAAATTTTTAGCATCACTTTTTATCATAGCATCATCACATGATTCATATAGTTCTAATAAAGTTGACCTTACTTGCAAAGCTTGAAATCTGCAGCTTTCACATTATTAATCTGACTTTCTCAACGAGTATTGGATAATGATTTCACTGTAAAAAAAAGGAACATGGTCAAGCAAAATATTCCATATCTTTGTCGAATCAGAAATCAAGGTATATATGTGACACAGCTCCAAAGAAAGAAGTAGCTTTCAAACATGAATGAGAGCCATATCACTAACTACAAAATTAAGACTATGACAAGAACATGGCATATACAAAGCTTTTGAATTTATATCAAACAATCGTCTTTAAACACTTTGATGTTTTCCTTTCATATTAGAAACCATTGTCATAAATTTGACCCCTCGCCTTGTGCATTATTTCTTTTGCACAATTTCTGCACAATGCGCCTTGATAACACTCAGCTACAACTTCTTGCTTCTCCATTCTAACATACCCATCTTTTTTGTCTGTGAGAGAGATATATAGTATGAAGGATAAACTGAATAAGCGAGGAAATTTATGAATAAGCACACATCCATATCATATGCTGATTACATTCTTTGATTCATGCCATAAAACATAAGCTAAACATGAATTGATTTAAACGAGACAAGATAGATGACAATGATTGTTGTTACAAATTTCTAACTCTCAATAGATAATTCTCAACAAGCACTTATAAACATGGACAATGCTACATGGTCAATTATGCTTAAGCTTGGATATTGTATCAATGGTTTAATATACTAAATAGAGACAACCGATATTACATTAAATGAATCGTACATCAACTTTGGTTTGGTCTACTTCATTAAAGTATATCTTTTGTGTCTGTGAGAGAGATATAAATAAAGATAATGAACAAGTAGTATGAAGGATGCAAACTTAACTAAGAGTAATGTCTCAACTACAATGTACATACGAGTGTTGTAAATGATTGAGAAGCAACAGACTTAGCACTTAGCCACAGCAGAAACTTAAGTATAAGTTTTTATGTTTTTATTAGATTTTTTTTTATTATTATATGTGTTAGTAGCATGGTTAAAGTTGTGAATATGAACAAAACATTCACTTAGTATCCATTATAAATTGTAGTCCACGACGAGCTTTGCGTGTGTGTGAGGAGGCATAGTAATTTTGCTGCCCAGTTACGGTTGTATTAAGCCTATAATGGGCCTTAGAGCTGATTCCCTTTGTTCTTTCTTGCAAAGTCGCATCTAAACTATTAAAAACAAGTACAGTATTTAACCCTGAATTTTTCATAATAATTACCAATCTTTGCCACTAATCAAAACACAATAGTTTCATATATTAGCCTATCCAATTTTCACAACCCAAATATTAACAAAACCAAATTTTCAATAGCCCACTTAAACTATTAAATTTATGACAAACATGAAACATAAAAATAGATATAATTTTAAGTTAATACAATCTACTTTTTTAAATTATGTCGACATTGTATATTAATACATAGTTACAAGTTTTTTTGATACACTTACATAAATAAAATATTATGTCATCATTCAGTAGAATTTTTAAACGATTTTTAGAAACAATTTAATGTGTTATCCGCAAGGATCCGAACTAAATCAAATTTTATAAATATCTGAATGGAGATGAAATATTTAAATCCAAAATCTAAAATCCGAATAGACATGAACCTTAGTGGGGGTTATTGGTTCTAGTATTTTATAAATTTAGAAATCTTTTTTGGATTTTGAAAATTTTAACAAATCCACACATTTTAGAATCAAATACGTAGATTTCAAAATCATTGAAATAGATTTCAAAATCAATATAATTGAATTATTAGAAATCAACGAAATGAATTTATGATAAACTCAGCTTTGTAACAAAATAAAGTATATATAAAACTACAACATATGGTTTATCATCTTCTATATCTTATGTTATTATGATAACATAAAATCCCTCACATACTTGTTATTATTGCCGCTCTCACTTGATTGACATATTCCATTTGTTGATTTTCAGTTCCACTAACTTCCTCAAGATCTTCTTCTTCATCAAAACCTTTTTATTCAGAAAAATTATCGATTCGTCAGAACTTTCAAAAAAGACTACACGTAAATCAACAAACCAATGCTCTCTCCGTGTTTGTGTCTTATAAGGAAAAGAGGATGCACATTAAAAATTAAAAATCGAGATTTGAATATATCAAAAATTCTTTCGATAACATTTCTTAGAAAAACATGATGATGGTAAACAACTCTTTTTGTCATTTTATGGAGTAGAATCTCCAGAAAACATTTGTAGACCAAAACGCTTATGAGAGATTTTTGGTAAATTTATATTAACGTCTACATATACGTAAAGCTAAGTTAGAGATGGTTGGTTAATATTATAGTATCCCCTATATATTAATTGAGAAACATTTGAAAAAGTTGTAACCTTAAGTTTGTATTAATTAAAAAATAACCCCATCCTACATGGCACCTCTCTATGTCTTCTATTGCAACTTAGAAGGATTCTAGAGCATGTAACATAATGTATAGTCTAAAAATTATAATCTCTAGCAATATATTATCTCGTAGACTATATTTGGTCGCATATAAAAAATATTTATTGTTCCGCAAGCTTTCCTTAAATAAAACCTACGGAATTACCTAATGTGATTAAAATATATATATCTCTCAATTAATGATTTGAAACAATAAAAATTTGATAACAATCTCTATAACTTTTATAATTTTATTTATTTCTTTATTATTAAATTAAATTAAACAATTACATTAATCATTAGTAAAAATCTAGATTTTTTTGTGTATTTTGTATTTCAAATTTTTCAAAACGAGTATAAATTACTAAAACTGTTAAAAGTCGCACATAAGCTTTTATGATCAAGGTTTAAATTTTTTTTATATTGAGATACAACTATTATAAGAGCATATGAAAAAATAAATTTATTTTAATAGGTTATATATATATATATATATATATATATATATATATTTCATATCATTTAAATTAAACTATACATCACATGAAAATACGTAATAATATTTTGATATTTGTATTGAACATATATTGAGAAGTTAATATTTATTTAAAATCTCTCATTGTTTTTCAAATGATTATAAGTTATTGAAAATACTAAACATCTCACATTAAAAGAAATTTGTTGGTGTAAAATTTGTTATACAAATATGCAAATAATCATAAAATCATATGAGTAGAAACCTCAGTTAATAAATATACATATCAAAATTTTGCTATATATCTATATCATTTAAATATAATTATATATAATATATGATAGATAAGATTGATATTTTTCATTTATTTGCCTTAATTGCGAATAAACAAGAGGGAATCGTTAGATTTATATGCAAACGCCAATTTATTACATAATAGTAACTTATTTCTTAGTTATTTAATATATATATACTTATTATTTTATTATTTTTAAAATAAATAATAAATATAAAATACTTATTCTGTAAAATGTGCAGATCTTAACCTAAGTATGTATCGTTTTAATTATTTTAAATCTTAAGCATTATCTAAATCTTAGGCCAAAACAAACAAACAAAATGAGAATAAACTTCAAAATCAATATTTATATCGAGCAATAACCATAATGAAAAAAATACAAAAAAATATTGAAGATATATAGGATTAGCACGTGAACATAAACTTCTCATAACCATAACTAAATTTTAAACTGCTAAATAATGATATAAAACCGATCTGACATAGTTTCATTGTAACCAAATAGACCCGAGATTTTTTGACCTAAACGTTAGGTTCTTTGCAGTAAGTGATATTTTGGCATAAAACATTTTTGAAAATGAGATCAGTTCATCAATAAACAAATTATGTACTAAACAAAAAGTTACAAAAAAAAATAAAGACCAAAATATTAATTCAATCAAGAATATAAATTTATTTTTCCATATAATATTTTAAAATAATTTTTATATAAATTTATCATGCGCAAGGCACATGTCTTATCCTAGTTTGCTTATTATTAGGGAAACATGGACAATATGTACGTAAAACTTTGGGCAAGAAACAAATTATTAAGAAAATCAGTAGTACACTATCAAAATAACAAGGTTCAACTCAATATTTGATTCTTTGTATTTTTAACTCATAAATCCATTCAAATATATTTTAAAATCAAATCCTCAAGCAAATCATTATTATTGAATAACGCCTGATTTTAAAATCTATTTTAAAATCATAGGACCAATAACAATAAATTTGAATATAGATTATAAAATAATAGAACCAATAACAATGAATTTGAATAGGGATTTTAAAATCATAGAACCAATAACATCATATTTGATTTGTATTTTCAAATCCACTAAAATATACAAACTAATAACACCTCTTAATGTCAATCCCTAGTTTAAATCGTTGACTTCTTTTGGAATCCTTTCTTCCATTATAAATGGCCCAAAAATCTTGAATTTAATTCCATTAAATTTCTCAAACCTGAAAGGAAGTAAACAGCAAGAAATCAGTGAAAACTATGGAAACAGATTATTATAGAAAGACAGCAAAGCTTTAAACTCCAACAGAAAATCAACCCAAATGGATTTAGTGTCAAAAGAACATACTAAGACAGAGTCAATAATTTAACAAGTTTACCTTGCTGCATTACGAGACCACCCGACGGTCACACAAGAAGCACATCACTTGAACTTGATAACCAACAATAGTTTCTGATAACCTAAAAGTATGCATTACTATAGCCCACATCTAACGATTATACATGTAACCTTATAAAATACATCTAGCTAGAGTTAAGCTTGATGAGTTCTCTAGAATAGATCAATAATACTTGCCAAAATAGTTAACGCGAACTGAAATCAAAAGCTAGACTAAACACATTATTGAACACACTTAACAAACTAATCATTCTTACACATCAAAACAGATGATTTGAATACATAACAAACTTGAATGACTTGAGCTCTCCATCACTCGAGAGCTAGATTTAGAAGGACAAGAATTATGACAAGTGGCTAGATCAAACCAAGCTTCTTTGACTCCTCTGATCACATTAAACTTAATTACTCTAAATGAAGATGATAGTAGTTCTGATGATTAACAATCGAAGAAGAAGAAGAAGATGATGATCCATAAACATCATCGTCTTCATCATCATCATCATCAGAATAAGGATTTTCTGGAGGTGAAACAAAGATATAATTCCAGAACCATAACACGAATCGACCCAATTGCCGAAGCGGGAAACAGCAAACGAGCCGCAACATCTCGCCGCTTCCGATTCGATCAGACGCTGGAATCCACCGTAATCGCTGAAATATCTCCGCCGATAAATGAGCTACGGACATCACCATGTCCCCTCGGAACACCATGTCTCTCACAACCAATCGTCTTATCTCAACAATCGATCTCTTTGATTTGTCTCTGTGTGTGAGACTCTTGTGTGTCGTAAAGTTAAAGTTGAGAAGAAAAGGTTTGGAACCTAAACCGAACCAAACTCAACCTAAAAATTTCAAGAATTTTAGTTTTACTATCCGACCGAACATAATCAATGCCTATCAAAACCGATTCAAACCAAATTTTAATTTGATTCTTAAATAGACCATAAACTACCACCCATATCCGAAATAACCAATACGAGCTGAACTAAATATCCGAATGTTCTCAAATCTTCAACTTCTACTAGGTGTTTTACTCGCACATGCGGGCTTAATTATCTTTAAATTAATTTAAAAAATCATCAAAATAAATGATTATTTACATCCAAAAAAATTAACCTAAAAATTAAACCTTTTAACATGATAACGTTATTCACAAATTTTTAAAAAAAATCTAAAGTCCATTTCCTTTTTTCTTAATTGATAAAAATATAGAAATCTATCTTTCAATTTAAAAATTGAATGGATAAATGTACATTCAAAATTGATCTCACAAAAAGAATAATATTAGTTTGGATAATAATACAATATATTTAAAATTTATTTTTGTCAAATACGTATTTTCTTTCTTTTTGAATGATCTTTTATTTTGTTATGATTAATTCATGTTTAAAGTTTAATTATAGAAAATATAAAAATAAATTTAATTCAACGTGTGAGTTCAGAGGTGAAAAATAACTTCACAAATATATATCATTAGTATATTATTATATTCTTTTAGTTTGAAAATAATTACGTATTATAATTTTTTCAATTTTATATTTTCAGTTATATACAATTAAAAATTTTACTTTATGAATATTTATTTATGTTTTTTCTGTTTTTGAATTTTTTTATAAAATATATTATCTGGATAACAACACACTATATATATGAATTATATTTTTTTATTTTTAAATATATATTTAGATTATGGATAATCATTATCATTATTATTAATTCAAATCCTTTATCTAATCAAATAAATATTAATTAATTTCGTTTTTATTATTGTCTGATTTATATATTTATTCATCAAGGGTATAAACGATATTAACTGCTCTAACTTTTAACGTGGGAGCTCTGTTGCGAAAAATCACTTCGCAAATAATAGTATAGATTAAAAGAGGGGACCACAACCACTCGTAGTATTAAAGTTATCAAGTTGTAAACCAAGATTAAACCCTCTGTTAGAAAGCTTTGACTCTCCACCGTCTGATTTTAACACGTTGACTCAATTCAATCATCATCAATGTGAAAGGGGTTCAGTGTTTATCACGTTATTTATATTCTAGTCTCTAGTCACAATGTTGTTTCAAAAAAAAAAAAAAAAAAAAAAAAA